AGGGGGCCCTGCCTGTGGCAGGGTGGGATGGGGGGGGTTAGTACATACTATCTATTTTCTGGCAAGTTCAGTTTTAATTAAAGAAAAAAAGTTCATAACCTACTGGAGTCTGGTCAGTCTGGGGGGGGGAGCCACCTCCCAGCTTGGACTGTGCCCTCCGGAACCAGAGCCCCTCCTTATCTGTGCCCTGTCCCGCCCCTCCCCGGCTCTGCTAGTGCCCCTCACTCCCGAGGTGCAGCCCTGGGCTCCCCCACCCCTCCAGTTCTGCCGCTGCCTTGTTCCCCGCTCGGCCCCAGGGCCGGCAGACACCCCCAGCAACGTCCCCTCCTGCCCCGGGGGGAGGGGTACTCAGTGCCTGGCTGGGAGTGGATTGTGCCCCCCAGTTCCCGGCTGTCCCCCGCGGGGGTCACTGCAATCCGCTCCATTGCAGGGAGGTGAAGGCGAGGGCACCATCCGCGACCGGCGAGCAGAGCAGCAGGGTCTTCTTGACGCTGGTGCCCAGGCGGGCGGCAGCCACCAGGGCGCGGAGCGGGAGAGGGGCTCCCGGGGGGCAGCACAGCGCAATGTAGTGGGCATGGAACCGCAGGGGGTCGCCTGCAGGGGAGAGGCCGAAGGGGGAGGGGTCAGGCCAGCTGCCCCATTCCCTGCCCCACCCCCTCCAATCTTCCCCTCTACTCCCTTCCCTGAGCACCCCTCAACCCATCCCCTCCCCCACTTCTGGGGCCTGCAATGCCCCCACCCACCTTCATGCACCCCTCCCCAGGGCTGGTCAGCTCCCCCTGCCCCATTTCCCCTAGGCTCCCCCCCACCTACCTGGGTACACAAGGAAGTCTCCCCCAAACTTGCTCCCTCCGGACAGGTAGTAGCCCCTGCCCCACAGCTCACGGAAGACGCGGTACCGGGCCTCATGGGCTGGGCGGCCGGCGTGAGGCCAGTCCGGGGAGGGTGAGGTCCAGTCCACCTGCTCGACCCGCCCTGGGCGCTGCCGCGCCGTGGGCAGCTGGACCATCATGGAGCCGCGGGGCAGGACAAAGGGCGAATCCAGGAGCCCCGAATCCTCCACCGTGTCTGGGAGTGGAGAGAGCAACAGGCTAGGAGAAGCTCAGGCCGGAGTGCAGCTGCCTCTGGGGTGGGGCACGGGGGCTGGTTATATGGGGACCCCTCGCCCAGTACTAGGATGCAGCCCCTCTGGGGTGGGCATGGGGGTTGGATATCCGGGGAGCCCTTGCAAGGCACTGGGATGCGGCCCCTCGGGGTGGGCGCAGCGGCTAGGTATACGGGGACCCCTCACCCAGCGCTGGGACATGGCCCCTTGGGGTGAACACGGGGGCTGGGTATACGGGGGGCCTGGTGCTTATCCACAAATGAGCCCCAGCAGAGGCCCCCTGGGCCCAGCACTGACAAACCGGGGACAGCGCCTCCTACTAAACCCCCCCTTCTCTGCAGCCCCTGGGTTTCCCTAGCAGGTCTCCCCTCTGAGACCCAGCCCCACCTGGTGTCTCCCCGCGCTGCTCTCTGCGGCGGGCTCGGCCCTGGGCGATGCGGTCGGCCAGCCGCGCCAGCAGGGCCCCCCTCTCTGCCCCAGCCAGGCGCTGCTGCTCCTGGTAGCTCTCTTCCAGCTCCCGCTGGTAGGCCTCCACCTCGGCTGCCTGGGTTCGGGAGAGAGGGGGTTAGCTCCGGTATGGGGCGCACGGCACAGCCATCTCCCCACAGGATCCCCACCCCAAACATGCTCCGCCCCCCTGCCCGAGCTGGTGCCCCCCCCCAGAGGGAAAAGGCCCCGGGCCCCATTCCGTGACCCACTGACCCAGCCAGTCCCCGCCCTGGGGCTGGATCGGCACCCCCCAGAGGAGCAAGGCCCAAGGTCCCTCACCTGGGTCGGTTCCTCCCCCA